TTGGAGGTCCATTTTTTTAAAAATAAAAAAAAAGCACTATTCTTCTAAAAATTTAGCAAAACAACGTAGATTTAAAAATAATATATATATATATATAATTTCCAAACATGACATTTAAGTATATTATTATACAAAAACATGACATTTAAGCAAGCTATGATTGAAAAACATGATAATTCAGATGTTGTATTCTTGAGTGGTGATTTTTTATAAAAATTAATCATGTTTATTTTTATATTTTAAAAGTATAATTTTTTTTATTTTTTAGTATTTTTTGAAAAATAAAATTTATTATTTTAATATATTTTTAAATAAAAATATTTTAAAAATAAATATATATCCAAATAATATGCATCTCCTCTTCTATCCATACAGTGGAGCTGCCCCTATCATTGAAAAATCCACAATTTTTTAATAGAACGTGCTAAATAAGACATGCCATTTGATAGGAGAATAAATATCTTAGCTCATTTTGAGAGGTATAGCTTGATGAGGTTATAAATTTATTTTTTAGATATTATTAATTTATAAAGATTATTAAAAATTTATATAATTATTAATTAATAAAAATACATAGAAACTGGTATAAACCACTTGTTAACAAAAAAAAAATCAGCTAATCAAGCATTTGAGCTATATACACTCTTCATTGAACATTCTTCATTGAACAATATAGACATATTTTAGAAGTTAATAAGGAGAGTAAATATTTTCAATTCATTCAATCTGGTTCGCACACTTGTAAATATAGAGAGAGGTTGTCTGAAACGTGTCGCCTAATCCCACCAATGAAAAAATCATTTATTTGTCAACTACAGTGACAGGACTCATTAAAAAAAGCACCTTTCCCACCTGACTCTCTGTACCTATAGTCTTTGCATGCACTCGTTTTTCGACCAGTGGGTGGCGGTGGGGGCACAAGCCGGTCATGCAGCTTTAAATGATATGGTCCACCGTCAAACAACGAGACTCGGGGAGATAAATATTGGTTTTTGAAGTTTTTTTTTTAATTTATAAGTACATTAAAATCATAATTTTTTAAATACCAAAACGTCAAAGTAATTTAAAAATATTAAAAAATAATAATTTGAATTGAAAAGAATTTTCAAATTGTACAGAATTAATATGAGAAAAGACAAAAAAAAAAAACACAAGTAGGCTTGCGCTGACCAATTGTCATGGAGGTCACTTGCTCGGCAGACAGTTCTCGAGCGAAGTACACTTTAGAGAAGAGGGTGCCAAAAAGAAAATTACTAGAATTCATCCATGAAAGCTTGAAACTTTTAGGAAATATGTATCGAATTTATAACCATAATAAAAAAAATACTAAAAATTGGTCTGTTGGCATCAAGATAAAAACCTCTCTTTGCTAGTTGAATCTCCTTGGCCTTGCACTTGCTTTTCTCTCGTCCTTGTAAGTCATCATCCTCTTCCCTAAGTAAACAGATCGTGTTGCACGCAGGGGTGTCAAAGTGCTTAAATTGGCCTACTTCTATGATTGCATTATAGATTCTCTTTTCTTTTCTTTTCTTCGAGTATTTTTTCCTTTCCTTTTTGCTCTTTAACCAAGAATCTTTAGCAGGTGTGGTGTCCCAATGGAATTCTTCTCTTTTCAATAACTGTGCTCTGAACTATACAAGTTGTCTCTCTGGGAGTTGAACCTCGTTCTCTATTCATTGATAGCTAAAGTTTTGGGGGTTAGTACAGGCTTGCTGGGGAAATGGAGGGGAAGATCAACGAAAAGCTTTTGAGAAAAGGAGGAGAGGTATATGCTGAGGAATTGAGGTTCAAGGACAAGTTATGGACCGAGACGAAGAAGATGTGGGTTGTTGCTGGTCCTGCTATTTTCACCAGATTCTCTACGTTCGGGATAAATGTAGTCAGTCAAGCATTTATTGGGCATATCGGCTCCACAGAACTAGCTGCCTACTCGCTTGTGTTCACAGTCCTTTTGAGGTTTTCCAATGGGATCCTGGAAAGTAGTTTGACTCATTTGATTTTGTGTTTCTATTCTTTGTTGGTACAAGTTTCCTGTATGGCATCCTTTAAAAATTGATTCTCAGATGTTGCGAGTCCTTATTATGACTCTAGTGTAGTGAAGCAGTTAGTGTTGGCATCAACATAGCACATCCCTTTAGTTTCTTGAACGAAGTTCATGTTCAATGCTTAGATGCAGACTTCTAGCCTATGGTACGCCTGTAGTTCTTAAGTTCAAATTTCGGATAGGTGCATGGTTGAATGGGGAGGGGAAAACTCTCTCTTGTTCTACAGCTGAAGGTCCGATGCACCCCCCAGAAGACCTAAAAAAAGGAAAAGGTTCATAACTTGGCTAATTTCTTGCATGCTGTCAAACCATAAGTCAGCCAATTTCTGAATCAGGAAAATGAAAATTAGTTTTAAAGGCCATTAAAAAGTGGAAAATGAAATTTGATGTTTAATGCCTGCAGTATGTGACATATAATCTAGAAACTTGAAGACAGGAAAATATTTACTGGAATGATTTTATTTTTCTCAAGTTTTGAAAGTACTCCCATTTTAAGTGCTAGAAGACATGCAATTGGTTGTTTGGCTGCCTGTATCGTTGCATTTCCTTTATTATAAATGTGCCGTTTGAATTTGCAGCTTGGCATGGCTAGTGCGTTGGAAACTCTCTGCGGGCAAGCCTTTGGTGCAAAGCAATATCATATGCTTGGAGTATATCTCCAAAGATCATGGATAGTTTTAATATTATCAGCTGTGCTGCTTCTTCCTCTGTTTTTCTTTACATCTTCACTTTTGAAGGCTCTGGGCCAGGAGGATTATATTGCGGAAGTGTCTGGAAATATCTCCCTGTGGTTAATCCCTGTGATGTTTTCCTTCATTCCGTCCTTCACCTGCCAAATGTTCCTACAAGCGCAGAGCAAGAACATGATTATTGCATACTTGGCAGCACTTACATTAGCAATCCACGTCTTCCTTTCATGGCTATTAACTGTCAAATACAAGTTTGGTATCCCGGGAGCAATGATGTCGACAATTTTGGCATATTGGATACCAAATATTGGTCAGCTTATGTTTGTAACCTGTGGAGGTTGCCGTGAGACATGGAAAGGATTCTCGACCTTAGCTTTCAAAGATCTCTGGCCTGTCATCAAGCTTTCTTTGTCATCTGGTGTTATGCTTTGGTAAGGCTTTTTATCACCTTCTGATTTTGTTCGAATCATGAATTACCTAGAATTTGGTATGGATACATCACAGCTTAATATGCTGGAGCGTTCAGTTTACCATTTCGGATTGTGGCATGCTTTAAATTACAACTGTTAAAACATTAGAATGCCACTATGAAGATGAGTAAATTAAGGAAAAATGCATTCTTCCACTTTTTCCTACACTTATTCATCTTCCACCATCTATCACCACACATTGCACCGGTTTCTCTGTTTTTCATAATAGATTCTCTATTTTTCAAAATCGAAATATGGTTTACTTTCAACACTATATTGGTTGGTTAATTTAGTAACGAAATCACTACGTAGTTGCTGTATGGGTTCGTAAAAGAAACTCAATATGGGATCAGCATGCTTGTGCTATGGTTTGACACCTTAAGTAGCTGGAATCGACAGGATTAATCGGTTTCAATGGTTTTGGAGCTATAGGACGTTGCTGAGTTTTTAACTAAGGCCTGCATATTTTTTAGTTTATCTTTGATGTAGGCATAGATTAGAGTTCTTTTATTTTTAATAAGAAAGGGAGTAAAATTGTTGAACTTTTAAACACTGTTCTGTTGGGTCGATCTCTTCACTTGTGACGTCCACAACATATTCACCTGGAGTTTGAGTTAAATTCATGGTACATTACAGCCTCGAGCTCTGGTACAACACAGTGCTGGTTCTTTTAACAGGAAACTTGAAAAATGCAGAGGTTGCTATCGACGCTCTTTCTATCTGGTAATCATTCCTTGGCAAATGTTTTTTTTTCCCTATACTTTATTCTTCTTTATTAGGAAAGTTCTTTAAAGATGTTCCTGTTTGCAGCCTCAACATCAATGGGTGGGAAATGATGATATCTCTTGGTTTCTTGGCTGCTGCAAGGTGTATTATCATCTCAATCATGGGCATTATCTTCTTTGGAGTTCATATTTATGGCGATAAAATCAGTTAACCACATAAAAAAGAAGAAGCAGAGATGCTTCGAATATGTACATGTGAGTGTATCTTTCAGACAGCTGATTTGATTCTTGTTTCATGTTTTTGTTGAAAACTCCAGTGTTCGAGTGTCAAATGAACTTGGGAGAGGGAGCTCAAAAGCTGCAAAGTTCTCGATCGTGGTGACAGTTCTTACATCATTTTCAATTGGCTTTCTACTGTTTTTGTTATTCTTATTTGCCAGAGGAAATCTTGCTTACGTCTTTACTACAAGTCATGCGGTGGCCAGTGCTGTCACAAATCTTTCACCGCTACTCGCTTTCTCCATACTTTTGAACAGTGTACAACCAGTGCTCTCTGGTAACTTACCAAGTTCTTGGCGCTTCTTTCCTTGTATATATATATATATACACACACACACCGTAACTGATGTTGTAACCAGGACATGAAAAGAAAACAAGTGCAAGTCGTAAGAAACCTACGGCGAAGCACCATCATGCATTCCTATATTCATTTATTAATACACCATCCACTTATTTTCTTTAACAGGAGTTGCTGTTGGGGCTGGGTGGCAGAGCATTGTAGCGTACATTAATATAGCGTGCTACTACTTGGTCGGAATTCCTATTGGAGTTGTGCTTGGTTATGTCATGGATATGCAAGTCAAAGTGAGTCATTCTCATCGCTTCCTTTCTTTCATGATATTTTTCAGAGTCTCTACAACCTTACACAGGATAATGGGAAAGAATCATATAGAAAGTGTAATTCTTTAGTATGCTTTCATATAATTGATTTTAGCTAAGCATGTGTCTCGTACACCTTCTGCAGCCCACCTAATGCTTCATCGCTAGCTATTTCCTTTGTTTTACTTTCTCAGAAATCTTGTTTTGTAGGGTGTTTGGGTTGGGATGTTGATTGGGACATTTATTCAAACTGTTGTTCTACTTATAGTCACCTACAGAACTGACTGGGAAAAACAGGTATTTTGGTTTGGCCTTCAGCTTTCTTTCTATACTATCACTTTCACCAGAAACTCAAGTGTCTTTATACAAAAACAAATGCATCTGCAGGTAATTGTTGCTCATAACCAGATCAACAAGTGGTTTGTAGCTGATTCTGAAGAAACAAGCACCCAAGTTGCATGAAGTTGGCTGTCCTTTGATTTATGTTGTGGGTGTATATATATTTTTTTGACAAAGCATCAATCGGTGCCCATATTTTGAACTTGGTAATTGTGATTTTTGAAGGCCAATTTTAGATCTTCAGAAGTAAACGATGCTGAAGCTCCAAAGTTGTTTCCTGAGCCATTGATTCAGATACTCTGATGTTCTAAATAATTCACGTGCAATGAGAAGTTTTTCTTGTAAGCTAGCAATGGAAGGCCTTAAAGCATCACTGAAATGATGTCCATTATATTCAACCAAACATTTGTAACTGTTGACAGAAACACAACCGAAAACAGCACTTCAAAGCATGATGCGGTAAATAAAATGAATTCAAGCAAGTTTTGCAGCGTTGATGTTCATCTGAAGCAAAACCTGCAAAATGCGGTCCAAAAGCAGGGTGTTAATCGTGTATGTGTTTTTCTTCTCCTTTTTTAAAATGCGGTCCAAAAGCATGATTCAAACAAATCGTGTATGTGTTTTTCTTCTCCTTTTTTTTTTTTGGTTTAATAGAGAGAAATGAAAGGACGGAAGGTAGAGGGAATGAAGAGACCAGTAGTTTAATTAGCTACGATCGTGTTTGATTCAGAAGTATTTTAAAATATTTTTTTTTAATTATTTTTAATATGTTAATATTAAAAAGATAAAAAAAAAACACAATAAAATAAAATAAAAAATCAAGTTTTTGAACTTCATGATAAGAAAATAATATTTTTTCTTTAAAATCCTATAATTAAAAAAAATGACAAAAATCCAACACTAGAAAATATTATTTTAAAAAAAGAAGATCAATTATATTATCATAAAGAATCTCTAAACAACACTACAATTAAAAAGTATATTCATGAGAAAAGAACAACCATATCATCATAAAAAATATCAAACAATAATTAGAAAGTAAGAAGATTTTGATTTTGATTAAAAAAAATTATTAGATTGGTATTTTAAGTTAGCTAAGTTGTTTTTTAGATTTTAGTTCAAGTTAAAAGGCGATTGCCAAATTACAATATCAAGTAAACTAGGCTATTAATTCTGATTAAAAGAAATCATTGAATTGAGATTTTAGATTAAGTAAACTAGGCTATTAATTCTGATTAAAAGAAATCATTAAATTGAGATTTTAAATTAACTAAGCTAAAGACACATACTAAAGTTTTGGTTAAAAGAGGTTTTTGGTTTGAGATTTTAGGTTAATTGAGTTGAAGATAATATTTTTATTCTTGTTAAAGAGGGTCTTGGATTGAAATTTTAAATTAATCGATCTGAAGTTAATTTATTTGGTTCTAGTTAAAAAAGATTGCTAAATTGGGATTTCAGGTTGACTAAGCTAAGATAATATTTAGTATTGTAGTAATGTTTGCTTTTCTAAGTATTTTTTTATTTGGAAATGTATCAAAATAATATTATTTTTTATTTTCAAATATTTATTTTTGATATCAGTATATCAAAATCAAATATTTATTTTTAATATCAGTATATCAAAATGATTTAGAAACATAAAAAATAATTTTAAAACATTCAAAATTTTAATGTATTACTATAAATAGGTTCTAAAAGCAACCTCTAGCAAGTTGGTGAAATAATCCTCTACAAGTAGTAATACAATGCTTACTAAAAAGCTAACAATAGAGTTACATTCCCTAATCAACTTATGATAAGGAGTGAGTTTTTGGGGGCCTAGCACACTTGATGGAGCTTATGTCATGTTTAAAATCTACAACTTAAATATCACAAATAACGACTGGAACTTGTGATTGTTAAAAATATATGCGATATAAAAGTCACATATAACACGACACAAATGCATGTATTTTTTACTGTTAGGACAATCATAAATGTATGTTGATGGATTGATAACTAAAAAGTACATGTGTGATATTATTATTGTTTACCAAAAGTTTAAGGGAAAGAGATAACCAAACGTGAGTGTGTGTCTGAAGGTATGAATGATTAAATATGCTTAAGTTATTGTTGAAGAATGGATTGATTGTGAATATGTTTATAATAGTCAAAATAAGTTAAGATTATGCAAATGCTTGTGGGAACTTGTTTACTTATATGCTTAGGTTAAATTGTTTGCTAAATGAATAAATGATTGTTTTCAGCCAAATATAATGTTAATTTATTAGCATTTGAGATTCTTTGCAGAAATGTTCAAAGTGAGACCCATTTTATCAGGAGCACAAATAATAGGAACTCCACGTAAGGGTTTGTTCCTTACCTTTTTTATTATTCAAGTTATTCTTATAAATGCTAGAATACAAGATATTTGCGCGCGCCCATACACACACTTGTATACAAGTGTTCATCATAAAAAAAAAATGATATCATATGAAATATGTCTTCAGGGTAGGAAAATAATATTAAATGAAATGTGCCTTTAGGGTAGGGTAATGATATTAATTGAAAAGTACACCTATATAGAGGGAAAATGATATATAAAGAAATACATTTTCGTTGCTAGACAAATAAATCATTGATATCAATTAAAAGAAGATTAAGATATGAAAAGTCAGTCGTATTGTTGGAGGTTAAAACATATTGTTTAATGAGTACAAATGTTAATAAAGAATTCACTTGGAGTAAATTTATAGTACAGGGAAAGGAAAATTAATAAAATAGACAATATATATGTAGTACAGGAAAATTAATAAAATAGACAATATATATGTGTGTTTGTGGAAATTTAATGTGTACAGGAAAAAAAAAATTGTTAATATAAATGAATTACCATGTATAAATATAGTAAATGAATGTGATTATTGCATATCCGAAAAGTAGATTAATATTTGCATGAATTACCTTTATTTAAATACTTGAATTATAACTTTGAATATTATTAATATTTATATTCTGTATAGTGTGTGTGTCATGCAAGTGCTTCTCACTAGCCCTTTTGATACTAAAAGCTTATACCAAAACTTCCTATTACATTATTATTTAAGCAAAACTTTATAATTAATTCTAATATGTAAGTTTTAATTGTGTATATTTTAATTCAACATAATATTATGTTATGTTAAAAGAAATAACTATCTACATATATAGATAATCATAAATTTATGGTAATGTTATAATTTTTATGAATGAAGGCATACTATATATGATCGTATTTTGTGGAAATGATAGATGGTTGTTTGAAGCCATCTTTATGTGGGTATTGGTTACATGAGCCAAATATGAATTGTATTATTTTTTGTTTTTGTAAGTAGTAATGCAAAATAAAGTAAAGCCTTCGTACAAGGAAAACTTTATTGAAATTTTATTAAATTGAATATACATTCACTATTTTTAAATGGTAGCTCCCTTTACATGTATGAAATGCATGTGTAGTATACTATAAGTGCCACAAGTTATATTGAATTCATTTTGAGTAAATTATGATAAAGTAAGATAAGGATAAATCAACTTTAAAAAATAAATTACCACTCCTTTTACTGTAAATGATTTTTTGTATTTTTGAAAATACCAAAATAAAGTGAGGAGTGTTACAACAAGATTACCCAATAAAAAGCATATTAGAAAATATTTACAAAGTCCAATTCATAACTGTTTAATATTAGATGATGAAAAAGAAAAAGAAAATATATAAATAAACTGCATTTATACTGTCATACTTGCAATATGGATCATGAAAATGAGATAATCACATGCAAAATAAATTGAAAAAAAAAACTAATGAAAATTAATTCTCAAAATGAAAAAAACTAATGAAGTTCAATTCCCAAAAAACCTAATGTTAAATGATGAAATTAAAAAAAATAACAAAAAAAATTCAAGTAAACATATATTATTCTCATCAAACCTACACTACAAGTCATGAGATCGAAATAACCTCTTAAAAAGTAAATTGAAAAAGTTATAAACTTAAATTATAATCAATCCACTATTGAAGAATAAAATTAAAAAAACAATTTAACAAAATAAAAATAAGACTCAAGTTAACCTATTCGAATCTTGCAAACCTGCGACCATGCAAATAATAACAATATGCAACTCAATTTCGAACCAATCAAAAGTTAAAAGATAAAATAAATAAAATTTTTTTTTTTTTTTAAATGGACCTAAGTAAACTTGTGTCGCCATACATGAAAATCGATGTGTGGAGGAAAAAAATGAAATAAATAAAATAAAACAAGAATTTTTAAAGGGAGCCAAATAAGAACTCCACCAACTAAATGCACCATAATTAAAGGTAAAACACAATAAACTAATTCTGTTGACATGTAGGAAGGGCTAGGATAGATGTAGAAGGTTGCCACATGCGTCTTTAAAAAATGAAAACTCTCCCATGTTTTGGCACGTATGCACTAACCATTTTTCCTATTTTTTTATTCAAATTAGTCTCTAATTTAGCAAGTTTAATTCTAGTCTTTAATACTTTAATTATTCCAAATCAATAAATTCAATTTTTTTTTTATAAACTGAGAGTCAATCGAGCTTTAAATTTTTCACAGCACTGTGAGAATTTCATGCAAAGTGAATGAAAATGAACTATTGATTAGTACTTAAAAGTGCACACTGTGAGAATTTCATGCAAAGTGAATGGAAATGAACTATAAAGTTCTATAATGAATTAACCAAACATAAAAAAGGATGAAGTTAAAATAAAACTTTAGAAAAATAAAAATAAAAATAAAAATGTGAATTCACTATTTTAATATATATTTCTTTTGAGTCTGGAGCTATAATAAAAATTACTACACTATTTCCTTTACCTCTTTTAGATTCATTTAGCTAGATAAGTGGCCCACACAACTTTGCAGGCCGAGTTAAATTTATCCTAATACAAACAAAATATATTGAAGTCATGCTAATACTTTTAAAGAAGTAAGAAAAATTAGAGACTCGCATCTTTGAGTTAATTAGATTGAATAAGTTCAATTAATTTCATATTATGATTAAAAAATCCATTAATAACAAATAAAGTAAAAAATAACAATAATTAACTATAAAAAATAAGCTGCAAATGTTACAATGGGGATGAGAAGAAAGAGAAGCAAATTGAAGACTCATCATTACTCTACCACGAATACCTCCTTAGCACTATAACAAACTCATCGAGATGGTTTTAACGCCATTGTAAATGATACCACCTGAATAACGCATATACAACCCATATGCTAATGTATGTATTGCCAGTCTCAACCATCTTTTTTTTAATAAAAATATGTTATATATATATATATATTAAATTACTCAATTACTCCTAAGTCAACTTGATTATAATATAAAAACTAGGATGAAAATACAAAAAATCCTTAAAGAAAAGGTTGTTCACGCCAAACTAGAGATTTGTTGACCACATGCATGGCCTAGTGATGAAAAGCCACTGAGTGAAATCGAATACCTCCTCACGTACTGTTTGAATGATACAGATACAACCTATATGTTAATACATGTAATGCACATATCAACAATATTTTTTTATTAAAAAATAATGTTTTATATCTACTAATTACCCAATTACTTCTAATTCAACTTGATTGTACTATAAAAACTAGGATGAAAATACAAAAAAAGCCCCGTGAATGCTAGTTAAGAAATTCTAATTTAAAGGGTAATTTAGTTTTTTTAATGCTAGAATACAAGACGTTTACACACACATACTTGTATACAAGTGTTCATTACCATGAAAATGATATCAAATAAAATATGATTTCAAGGTTGGGTAATGCCATTAATTGAAAAATATGCTTTCTTGGTCGAGAAAAATAAAAAAAAAATACTCTTATAAAAAGGGAAAATAATATGAGAAGGAATATGCTTTCTTGGTCGAGAAAAATAAAATATTGGCATAGTTAGATCACTAAGAGGAGATTGAGATATGAAAAGTTAGTCACATTGTTAGAGGTTAAAACATGAGGTTTAATGAGTATAAATGTTAATAAAGAATTGACTTGTAGTAAATTTGTAAACTTACAGGTATAAGGAAAGGAAAGGAAGATTAATAAAATAGACTATATATATATATATGTGTGTGTGTATGTGTGGGGTAGATGATGTAGATGTTGTATTGAGCTTTGAATAAATATTTGTGGAAATTTAATAAGTGTAAATGAAGAAAAAACATGCCAATATAAATGAATTACCATGAATGTAGTAAATGAGATATAATAAATTATAGCCTTGCATGTTATTAATGCATTTATATTTTATATCTTGTGTGTGCCATGCAAATATTTCTCACTAACCCTCTTAATATTTATGGTTTATACCATAACTTCTTATTGCATTATTATTTAAGTGGAACTCTGTAATAAATCCCACTATATGAGTTTTAGTTGTGTATATTTTAATTTAAAATAATATTATGTTGTATTAAAAGAAATGACTACTTGTCATATATAGATAATTGTAAATATGTGGTGACAATGTAATTCTTGTAAATAGAGACATATTATATAAGACTGTATTTTGTGAAAATAATGTATGTTTGCTTAAGGTCATATTTACTCGGGTATTGGTTGCTTGAGCCAAATATAAGTTGCGTTGTTTTTGTATCTATAGGTATTAATGCCAGATAAAGTTTTAGGTAAAGCCTTCATATAAAGAAAGCTTTGTTGAAATTTTATTAAACTCAATACATTCACTATTTTTAAATGAAAAAAATCCATTTACATGTATGAAATGCATGTATAGTATAAAATGAGTGTCACAAGTTAAATTAGATTCATTTTACGGAAATTATGATAAAATAAGATAATGCTAAATCAACTTTAAAAAATAAATTACGACTCCTTTTACAATAAATGATTGTTTGTGTTTTTGAAAATATCAAAATAAAGTGAGGAGTGTTACAAGATTACCTAAGAGAAATCAAATTAGAAAATATTTAGAAATTCTAATTTATAACCACCCCAATGTTGGATGAAAAAAAAATCTAAATTAACTTTATTTATACAGTCATATTTATAACATGAATAATGAAAATGAGATAATTACATGGGAAAAAATTGAAAAAAATTGATGAAGCTTAATTCTAAATAAATCCACCATTGAATAATAAAATTGAGAAAAAATTTAATTTTAAAAAATAACAAATTGTTTTTGAAGTAAATATATATTATTCTTATCAAACCCACAACACAAGTTATGAGGTTGAAATAATCTCATAAAAAATAAATTAAAAAATAAAAATAATATGTAGCTCGATTCCCAACCAACCAAAAATTAGAGGATGAGATTAAAAAACTTCTATTAAAAAAACTAAAAAAAAGACTCGAGCAAACTCATTTCAACTTGACAAACTCACGAAAATAAGTCATGCGATTGAGATTTCCTATTAAAGAAAATTAATGAAGTCCAATTTTTTTAAAACTAAATATTAAATGATTAAATTCAAGAAGAAAATGGTTAGTAAAAATAGAAATCAAAATAATAACGATCAAATTTGATATAAAAATTTAGCAATTCCCTTTGGTTTTTAAAGAGTGTCAAACATGAAAATCAATATATAAAGAGTAAAATGAGATAATTAATGAAATAAAAAAAATATTTAACTATAGCCAAATAGAAATTGCACCAACTACAAGCGTCACAAATAAATGGTTGCACGATGACAAGTGAAAAGGCCATGTATGTCATTAGAGTAGCAATTCAAATAAAATACCATAAAGTGAACATTTCATGTTTATATTTAATCAACTAATTTAATTTATTTCAAAAATAAAATCTCTTTAAAAAGCACTAAATTAAAAAAATAAAAACAAATAAAATGACTCAAAATAACCCAAGTTATTTTGAAAATTAGTAAAAACAATCCTATAAAAAAAACAAAAAAAATTACAAAGCTTAATTTCCAATTAAATAAATAATGAAAGATGAAATTGTAAGAACATGAGCTTAGAAAAAGAAAACAAAAGAAGAGCAAACCTGGGTGAATGTTCTAAAACTGGGTTAATTTCTCAAAAATACAACTCATGAAATGAAAGACTTAGGCTCAAACCAAAAATGCAATTCTTAACTAATTTAGTGTTGAATGATGAAATTAAAAAAAAAATATCAATTTAAAAAATTTGCTAAAAAAAAGAAAATAACAATAAAAGAATGATAATCAAATCTAATAGGAAGAAGATAAATGAAGATGATTTTTTTTTGAAAAAATTCAATTGTAAAAATTGTCTCGAATAAAACAATTAACAATAAAAAAAATAAGAACCATATCTAACAGATAAAAGAAATAGAACAAGGATGAAATTAAAATAAAATTTCAACTTTATAAATTATTTTATATAAAAAAATTATAACCATATAAAAAAATTATAACAAAAAGAATAGGGACTAAGTCTGAAGAAAAAAACAAATTAAATGGCTACCCTAAAACATGGGAGAGAAAAGAAGAAGAAAAAAGATTGTTGATGCAATATCAGAGGTCCGTTGACTGCACGCACGACCCAAGGATGGAAAAGCTATCGAGAGAAATCAAATGCCTCCTCGAAATCACTGTTTCATAGCTAAACACCTTTTCATACACTGCTCAAATGATGTAGATACAACCAATGTACTAATACGTGTAATGCATGTATCAACTATGTTTTTAAATTACTCAATTACTCCTATGTTAACTTGATTATAATAAAAAAACTAAGATGAAAATACAAAAAAACTCATAAAACAAAGGTTGTTGATACAAACTAAAGGTTCATTGGCCACACATATTGCTTAAAAATGAAAAGACCGTTCGTAGAGAAATCGAAAGCCTCCTTAAAACCATCATTTGGTAGTCAAATATCTTTTCACACATAGCCCAAATGATGTGGATTCAAACTCATATGCTAATACTTGTAATGCTGAGTCAACCATCCTTCTTTAAAAAAAGAAAAATTATGCTTTGTATATATTAAATTACATAATTACCTCTCAATCAACTTGAATATAATATAAAAATAAAAATAAAAATGTAAAAAAACCTCTAGATACTGGTTAAAGAAATTGTGATTTAAAGAGCAATTTAGTTCTTTTAGTGTGATGTTAAAAGTAAGAAAATAAAAATGTCCCTGAATGCTAGATAAATCAATTTTACTTTTAAAGATAATTTAATAATTATATTATACTTTATAAATTTAAAAAAACCAATTTGTGTTTGATTAATATAATAATGACTAACAAACCCTTATAAAAAAACCATATTATCTTCAATAATTAGTTTTTTTGATGTTTTTGAAAATATCAACATAATCATTACACTATTCAAATCTATAATACAATGTACAATTTCTTTTTATAATTATAATTATAATATATCATATAAAAAAATACCAATTGAATTTGAGAATGAGCATCAAATTATTACAAAAAAATTAAATAAGCTCAGTCTTTTACTATGTCTAAAAACAAAAATTTATGAATTGAAGCAATATTAATATGATTTAACCATTGCAAAAAAACTAATTAAGCCTGTAATTGGGAGTAGAGATATTTTTTCTATAAGATACATTGCAAAATTAAACAAGGAAAAAATGGTCCAGATATTTTATTTATAGTGCAATGATTGTTTTGTTCTATTTTTTTTTTTGGGTGAATAGATCTTTTGTCATTAAAAAAAATGAAAAGTAGAATCATGGTCATCTAGTTGGAGGATAAAAAAAATATACAGAGAGGCTTCTCTGTTGCTTTTTCTTTCTTTTTAAATAGAAAAATAATAGAATTAATCTTGGAATTTAAGAAAATAAAGGCCATGTGAGAGTATTTTAATTGGTTTATTATCATCTATAGGTTTTGTACGAACAACTGGGTAGTTTTAAAGTTTTAAATATTATTCCAAAAAAAGAAAGCTGCTGAACGTGTCATAACCATATTCACGTGATTTTCTAATAAAATAATTCAATCGTGAACGATCGGCAAATCTTCCACGTAAGTGTACATGTTGCCCCATGAACCATTAATAAATATTGCTTCTCTCATTAAATAATTCAATGAAGAACGACCGGTCAATCTTTCACGTGCATGTACACGTTGACCCCTTACCATTAAAAAATATTGCTCACCACATCCTAAAATTTGAGCTGATTTGTTTATCACACGTATCCCTTTGCTGATTGAAAAGGCGTGCTCTTCTTTATTACAACCAAGGAGCCTCGTTGGCACATCACAAATCTTTTTTTTTTAACGTGCCATTTAATAGACGGCGGCTAAAGTAAATGTGGGTACCGTATTACAAATCATGTTTTTAAAAAATTTAGATATTTTATATGTTTTAAATAATTTTATCATATTAATTTTGAAAATAATTTTTATAAAAATAAAAAAAATAATTTTAATACATTTTCACACAATGCTTTTTTTTACCTAACCCTGCCTCCAAACAATCAAACTTAGCTTGACGATGCCTTGAATGGTGCGCCAACAGGTTGTGGATTCGGCGGTTCGCGCTCATTCTTCCATCCGTGAACAAGCAACCAACCATTCTTCGTTTCTCACTTCTATTTTTCTGTGCACCAATTTTGTTTTTCATATAAACGAATACCTATGGAAAGCACAGGGGGAAACTAAACACATGCACTCCTAGCTACTGCCTTGTTAACAAGCATGCTTTCTCCCCTCTCTCTCTATTTATCCCTGTGGACATTATTCTAGCTTCGAAGCAAGCTTCAATCGGTTTCAGCCCCGAAGAATACCTCGAAGGTACGCAGGCAAATGTGAAGGAGTAAATGCTTGATTTCGTTGCTCTTATGCTACCATTGATCTTCTCTCCCTTGCCTCTTTTTTTTTTTTTTTTAATTTAACATTTCATGTTCTTGTTCTGCTTGCTAGCTAGTCGCTATACTGCCTTGTTAACAGAGACGCATTCCCTTCTCGCTTTCCATTTCTCGAGTCGACAATAATCCAAGGCTAGCTGAAGTACAGTGAGCTCCAATCTGTTTCAGTGTTAAGGGTATACCTGACAGGTACGCATGCAAATTATAAAGAGTACATATCCTTTCTTTCCCTTTCCTGTTTTTATTTGATTAACATTTCATGTTCTTGTTCTGCTTTTCCTTGATTATCCCATCTCATTAATACGAATATGGTCTTTTTATAGCGCACTAGTGGCAATGTTGTTCTGCGTGATTTCTGCTTTTCCTTGATTATTTCATCTCATTCATGCAAATGGGGTCCTTTATAGTGCAAATAAACGAGTGGTGATTTGATGGTTTCCTGCGTGCTTCATTCTTCTTCATCGGTGTGATTTTTTGAGGGTAAATTAGATTTCATGGCCCCTCGAGTTTCACATCTTGGTCACATTAGCGCCTATAATACAAAACTCGGTAGAACAAACCCTATAGTTCCCATTCCTGATAAGTAATAGAGCATAAATCCCTCCGTACACATGCCCACACAAGCCTGCTGGGTTTTTATTTATATTTCTACCGTGACAAAGACATCTTGATAATTAATGGAAGTTGATTAGACAAATCTAGATGTTCTTAGATTTATTTTTTTTAATACAAAATAATCTCCTTCGAAGCCCTTTATTTTGTTTTGTTCCCTTTATTTTATTATTGTTCTTGGATATTATATTCTTTTTCTTTTAATACAAAATAATCTCCTTCGAAGCCCTTTATCTTGTTCTGTTCCCTTTATTTTATTATCAAATTTCTTTGTCAATAATGTTTTATTTTATTTTAGTTAGATTTAACAAGTTCTTAGCGTGTGAACTAGTCTAGTTTATTATTACTTGAGTCATCCACAAACTCGGAATTTGAGATCCTAGAGATGTGTTTTATTCGTCCTTGTCCTTTCACGGGCTGCAATTAATTCTCTGCAACTACCAGTCTCAAAAATACAAAAAAGGTGGCAACTACCAGTCAGGCACACACAACTTCTATTCTTTCCATGGGTTTTTCATTTTTCATTTATTGACTCTCAACTCAACCACACAAGTCTCTATCACCTCTCAGAGGAGATCAATAGCAAAAATAAAATAAAATAAAAATAAAAATAAAATCAAGAGCTCACCCAAGCAAACTGACAATTCAAAAATGGCAGCGCATCTGTTTCCTAACAAAACAAGAAGATAAAGGCTAGCTAATATTCTCATGTTAGTGATGAACCAGGCATGTAGAGTAGGAAAGGGGAAGAGAACATTGTTGAGACTATTTTCTTATTTTGAGAACCAGATTTACCTTTGTATTAAGGTGACTGTCCTCTGTTGTCCCGGAGCAAATCTGGGTGTTCTTTAGTTTACAAGTTACAACCGGAAGAGCAGTCAATATTGTCAGGATGATTCATGGTTTTATAATAGTATATAAGTATAAATATAAATAATTTTATTTTTTTACTATTTTATTTTTCTCCTCTGAACCAAATTATTAAATTCAAAATCAATAATAAAATTTGAAATATGATTAATTATATTCTCATAAAAACATGAGAGGATCGATAAGATTCAGAAATTCATAAACATATTATATAA